AATAAAAGACGTGTGAACTAAGGTCTTTTTTTACCCAAAAGACTCTAGCAATTGTCCTTACATGCACATAACATAATTTTTCTTGTCCTTATTGCCGAAACAAATGGGGAAATAGGACTGGCTTTCAATTTCCCGAAATAAATTTTAGCTTAGGCTCATGAACCCAAACCATCTATATCTATATATCTATCTATCTATACTACTTATAATTTTAAGCATATGTGAAATTTTCTTGATTTCTTGTTTTATCACTACTTAATAATGTTAAGTTAGTCATAACCCATATATCCTTATTAATGTCATCATTTTTCTTTCCATGTCCTATTAAAACTCTTCTTACATATAACATTAGGTTTCTAACTATTCGTTCTAGGTATTCTTATAGCTTTAGGTCTTTAATTACAATAGTAACTCCAATTGCTGTAATCGATCAACCAAAACACACTACTCATTTTAATCATTCATTTTCTCTCTCCAAAACGCAAATCTTAAAACATCTCTTTTTAGAGATGACAATGGATAGGAGAAAAACGGATACTCGTTGGATCGAAGATAAACCATATGTATTGCATGATGTATGTATATGAAGATATCCATATAAATCAGTACAAAAATAGAGGCAGAGATGGATTGAAACTTCTCTCCGCCCCTCTAAACCCGTAATAGATATACAAAATAACTAAGGTAATGTTTGGTAACCATGTGTTTGCCCTTTTTGTTTGTTTTTATTTTTATTTTTGTTTTCACTTTTTGCTAAAAAAAAAACAATAACATGTTTGGAGAATGTTTTTATTTTTTTTTGGTTGGTCTGTTTTGTAAACAATTCTAAATTTTAAAAACATCAAAATAGATGTTTTTAAAAACATAGAAAAACGAAAACACACGCCTCTCTTAATACCATTTAATGAGGTCTAGCTTTTGAACTCCATTATTGGCAAAAAAAAAGAGTTTTTTTCATTTCCACTATAAAAGCGTTGTTTACCCATTTTTGCCTCTTCTCTCTCTCTCCTCTTCATCTATCAGACTCTTGTTCATCTCCATAAACAAAGGAACTCTCAAATCTCAAGCCAAGCTAACACTCAGATCTCAGATCTCCAGCGACAAAAGGCGCGCTCAGGTCTCAGATCTCTGGTGACAAAAAGAGCTCTCAGATCTCCAGCGACAAAAGAGTAACGAAAGAGCTCTCATATATCAAGCCAGCACACCATCTCAATCTCCATCAATACATAGTATATACGTAGATCTATAAGTTTGGGTTGGGGGTTTCGATGGTGGGCGTTGAATTGGGAGTGGGTTTAGGTGGTTGTGGTTTCGGTGGTGGTCTGGTTGGGTTTCAGTGGTTGAATTAAGGTTCGGTTTTGATGGTTGTGGTGGTGGATTTCGGTGGTTGTGGTGATGAGTTTCAGTGGTGGGGTTTCGGTGGTGGTGGGGGTGGGTTGTGAGTTTCAGTGGTGGGGTTGGAGGTGGGTTTCGGTGGTGAGGTTGGGTGGTCAGTGGGGTGGTTGTAGTGGTGGTTTTCAGTGGTGGGTTATGGCTTGTGGGTTTCGGTGGTGAGGTTGGGGGGTGGGGTGGCCAGTGGGGTTGGATTGTGGTTTTGGGCCGTCAGTGCTTTTTGTTGGTGAGGGTTTGGGTGGTGAATATTTTGTATAATAATAAACAGGTTTTTAATTTTTGTTTTCACAATTTTTAAAATATAAATGACTATGTTCTATATTTTTAATTTTTATCACAAAAAAAAAACTTTGTTCTGTTTTTTTTTTATAAAAAAAAATATAAAAACGAAAACGTTATCTACCAAATGCACCCTAAGTAAATACACATTTTTTATACATATTATTTTTGTGAGATTTTATTTTAATGCATTTGTTATATAACGAGTTTTTATCGTTTTTGTAAATTTATTTTGTGAGGTTTTATGATTTTTTTTTCTTAAAATCATATAATAATTGTTATAGGCAACCAAGGGGACGGAGACGGGAATTAAAATTTTTTCTGCTAGCAAGGGTAGGCAAATATTTTTGAAGTGGGTACAGGGTAGAGACTACTCCCCCCGCCCCGTCTCGGGCCAGTGTCATCTCTATCTCTCTTTCTCTGTTCTGCATCCCTTATACGGTAAAAAAATGCCCTTCCTCTCTCTCAATCTCTACGAAACAAATCCTTTTTTCTTGGTTTGTATTATGATTTTTTTTTCTATTTGTGTTATGAGATTTGTGCCAAAATTTTTTTAGTTTTTTTATTAACCTTAAAAAATTAAAATTCGCAGAACATGATTGTTTGAAATTAAAAGCTCTTCAAAATTAAAGTTGATAAAATATTTCATAAGATTGATTATCACATGAAATATTAGGTGAATTAGTGACACTATCAATATCAAAAGAAATGGTAGAGAAAATTAAACATAAAAACTAATAGTTCATTTAATCTCAGAATAAGAATAATAAATTTTTATAAAAAATTAATATTAAAAATAAAAAATCTCATTTTTAATTTTTGTCTTTGGCCTCAAATAGTCTTGAACTGTCCCCCGCCCCCGCGGTAGTTTCGAGTCGACTTTGTTTGAGACACACATACATGGGTTTCGACATACCCATATCCATTCAAGTTATGTCGTAATGGTTTAAAAATTCTAAGATTATTTATGTATTGTATAGAAATCATTTTCAATATGTTAAAAAAATGTAATCATTATCAATATGACATAAAGAGTAATCTCGGAATTAGGAAATAAGGATAAATAAGGGTAATCTCGGAATTAAGTTCAACAAATGACCGTTATATTATACTTCATCAGCAAGCAATTAATCTACTAATAAATTGACACAAACACAGAGAGGCTTTGGCTTTGCTTTATAAAGCAGAGGGTTCAATCTCTTTTCCCACCAAAATCAGACCCTTTTTTTCGATCTTCAGCGAAAAATCGGCCTGCTCAAAGATTTAAACTCATTCTGTTGCCTGATCTTTGTTGTATTTGTTTTCTTTTTTAGCCTTCATTGAATCAAATATATCAAAGTTCATTGTGGTTGTATCGGCGAAGAAAAGTAAAAAGGAATTGTGGTTTTGGATTGGAATTTTGCTGCAGCTACTGGAAGACTCGGTGGTTGTTTGATCTGTGTTGGATTGATTTTGCATTCTTTGGAGGAATTTCAAATCGATCGAGACGTCACTGAAGCTTCTGATCTGAATATTTTCAAGAATGGTATTGAATATTGTTCTTGTTGGTGGTTCGTCATAGCATAGTTTCCATTAATCTTCCATTGGAAATTTGGATGAATTCTTTTTCTTATTGTTATTTATTACTGATCTATCTTAGTTTCATCAGGATTTGTTCTACTTGGTGGATATTAATGGAATCCACTTTCGTTTCCATAGTGCCTGTCTCTGTTTGCTGCTGTTTCTTGAATCTTTATCGAATCTTGAGTTCAAATATTGGCTTTGAACAACCATGGCCAAGTAGCGTATAATTTATCAAGTCTTGGACTGGTGGATTTGGAGGTGATACTTTTTTGAGGTGCGTGTGTGTGCGTGCTTATGGCTTTTCTTCGAGTTGTTTCATCACAAGTATGTCGCCGAAGTCAAAACCCTGGTTGTGGGGGTTTGATATTCTTTTGGCATTGCTCATATATGTTTCAGGATGTCCCCTTATCTCTTGTATATGGCATATTAGCAGTTTTAATGACTGTCTCATCTTTCAAAGACACTTAGTCTTTTGTTGCACTAGCCAGTATGGTAACTTTTATTGTTCACTCTTTGCTGTTCTTAGAAGCTCTCCAAGATGGTTAATGTTTAGATCTTCAACACATTGAATGCATTTTGATTTGGCATCCTTTTGGTATGTCACCTAAGGAATAGAATATTTTCATGAATATTGCATGGAAGTGGGACACTCAAGAAACCGAATTATTTGTCTGGCTTTAGTTTCTTGGGGATTTTAGAGATAGAAAGGCCGGCTTGGAAAGCTAAGTTTCAGCAACAAATTTACAGCTCCTTCCTCAACATTCTTAGCCTTTGCACAGTAATTTAGGATCCCCATGGTAGTAGCAGAAACCCAGAAAGATTTGTTTTCTATTGTTTTTGTTGCAAACGACAACTGTCAAGTTGGAAATTTGAATAAGAGGGCGAGCATTCTGCACAACTAATGGCAAAGGCTAGACCTGTACACAACCCACCATTTCCACCAACTTCAATTTAATGGGATCAAGCAGTGTAATAGCTTGATGGCTTGCCATTGACATCTTGTTGGAATCTGTTGTTCTGATTAAACTGAATCCTTAGAAGTAAAGGTGCTGAATTACTTTTCATGAAATAATTTTACTGTTTTGATATGATCCCAGTCTCTCTCTGTTCAGAAGTTTGTGTGAAGATTTCCAAGGCTCAAGACCTTATAGAATGTTTCCCATAGAATAATAACCTCACTGAAAGTTTTATAGTCATAGTTTTTATTCAATTGGTTCTGGTTTTCTTGTTTTTTGGAGTGCGCCAATGGACTCAGTTCCGGGCTTAGTAACTGCTTCCTCTTATATTAACTGTCTGAAATATATGAAAAAGTGTTATAGGTTGTTTTGGTCAGCTTAGCGGTTGGATCTCTTGCGTGGTGAAGGATCCTGATGTAGCTTGGGTAGATTGCGAAGTTGTGGACGCTAATGGTGAAGACATTAAGGTTCTTGTGAGTATTCTACATCACTACTTGAAATTGATATTTAAAGCGTATATGGTATATCTGCTTCAACTGGTTGTTATTCTCGAAATGCTGAATATCAACTTGTAATTCATTTTTGTGGTTATTTTATGTTTGTATGATTCTCTCTCGGTGGTATCTTACCACTCCCATTTCAGGTTTGGTTAGGGTTCCCAGATGGAATATATACATCCACTTTCATAGCGTAGCTGGTGTGTTACTGGAATAACTGCTGTATTCTTTTGTATTGTCTCTTAGCAGCACCTTATGTTGTAGTTGTTCTTTTAAGCTTTCCTTTGTGTTGTGACTTCTTTCTTCTCTACAAATGGTAGCCACAGGTCAGTAGAGCAGGTGTATCGTTTTCATAGCAGGAATCCACTTTCGTTTCCATAGTGCCTGTCTCTGTTTGCTGCTGTTTCTTGAATCTTTATCAAATCTTGAGTTCAAATATTGGCTTTGAACAACCATGGCCAAGTAGCGTATAATTTATCAAGTCTTGGACTGGTAGATTTGGAGGTGATACTTTTTTGAGGTGCGTATGTGTGTGTGTGCTTATGGCTTTTCTGCGAGTTGTTCGGGGTGTTGTTTCATCACAAGTATGTCGCCGAAATCAAAACCCTGGTTGTGGGGGTTTGATATTCTTTTGGCATTGCTCATATATGTTTCAGGATGTCCCCTTATCTCTTGTATATGGCATATTAGCAGTTTAATGACCGTCTCATTTTTCAAAGACACTTAGTCTTTTGTTGCACTAGCCAGTATGGTAACTTTTATTGTTCACTCTTTGCTGTTCTTAGAAGCTCTCCAAGATGGTTAATGTTTAGATCTTCAACTCATTGAATGCATTTTGATTTGGCATCCTTTTGGTACCTAAGGAATAGAATATTTTCATGAATATTGCATGGAAGTGGGACACTCAAGAAACCGAATTATTTGTCTGGCTTTAGTTTCTTGGGGATTTTAGAGATAGAAAGGCCGGCTTGGAAAGCTAAGTTTCAGCAGCAAATTTACAGCTCCTTCCTCAACATTCTTCAGCCTTTGCACAGTATTTTAGGACCTCCATGGTAGTAGCGGAAACCCAGAAAGATTTGTTTTCCATTGTTTTTGTTGCAAATAGTCAGTGCATGGTGTGATGGTAAAATCAGACACCGACAACTGTCAAGTTGGAAATTTGAATAAGAGGGCGAGCATTCTGCACAACTAATAGCAAAGGTTAGACCTGTACACAACCCACCATTTCCACCAACTTCAATTTAATGGGATCAAGCTGGGTAATAGTTTGATGGCTTGCCATTGACATCTTGTTGGAATCTGTCGTTCTGATTAAACCAAACCCTTTGAAGTAAAGGTGCTGAATTACTTTTCATGAAATACTTTTGCTGTTTTGATATGATCCCAGGCTCTCTCTGTTCAGAAGTTTGTGTGAAGATTTCCAAGTTTCAAGACCTTATAGAATGATGATCTTATGGAATGTTTCCCATAGAATAATAACCTCACTGAAAGTTTTATAGTCATTAAAACGCTGTGTGTGTCTAGGTATGAACGTGAATGATAATAGTTATTATTCAATTGTTCAATTGGCTCTGGTTTTCTTGTTTTTTGGAGTGCGCCAATGGACTCAGTTCTGGGCTTATTAACTGCTTCCTCTTATATTAACTGTCTGAAATATATGAAAAGGTGTTATAGGTTGTTTCGGTCACAGCTTAGGCTTTCGATCTCTTGCTTGGGTGAGGGATCCTGATGTAGCTTGGGTAGATTGCGAAGTTGTGGAGGCTAATGGTGAAGACATTAAGGATCTTGTGTTGTGAGTATTCTACATCACTACTTGAAATTGATATTTAAAGCGTATATGGTATATCTGCTTCAACTGGTTGTTATTCTTGAAATGCTGAATATCAACTTGTAATTCATTTTAGTGGTTATTTTATGTTTGTACGAAATTTTGACAGGTGGAAATTTGTCCAACAACTTTTTGTTAAATCATTTCCCTAAAATTATTATAGGTATTTTTGTTGGTTCAGAAACAAATATGCAGATGTTGATGATTCTTCGACTTTGGTCATTTCTTTCTTTTGTTAAATTTAAGTTACAGGTTCTCGTTAAAACTTCTTGGATTTGTCCAAAAGATGATGAATTACCACCATGTGTAGCGGATGAAATGACAAAGCTGGCTTATTTGAATGAGCCAGGACTTCTGCACAATTTAAAATCGAGATGTGATATCAATAAAATATGTGCCAGTATTTCCCACACTTCATTTGATGTTGGAAGCTTCTGTTTCAACATTTTCTTATTTAATTCAAATGTTTTGAAGCTAATCAACTTGATAGTGCTTCCAGACTTACACAGGAAATATAATACTTACTGTGAAGCCTTTCAGAAAATTGCCTCATTTATATGATAGTCATATGATGACGCAGTACAAAGGGGCAGCCTTCGGTGAACTGAGCCCCCTTCCTTTTTCTGTTGCAGATGCAGCATATAGGTACATTGTCACGATCATGAGTTCATAATTCGGTTGCCTTCACTTTTCTTTTCAATGATTAAGGCCAATTATGTGGATGCAAAGTTATGATCAATTAGGGAATCAGTTAGTCAATTTTGGTTAGTGGTGAGAGTGGAGCAGTTACAACAGAAAGCACAAAATTGCTTATGTGGTATCTTGCTTACATTGTCGAGCAGCAAGTCCCGGAGGTAAGCCTTGCATTTCAGTCCGTCCAACAACTTAGACGCGAGACTGTGTCATGCTGAGGCCAGGTTTGAACTCTTTCACCACATAATTTAGTTCCTTAATTGGGTATAATATGTATTTTGGCTGTGTTTCATTTGTTTTGCAGTCAAATCCTGTTCTAGAAGCATCCGGTAAGGCGAAGACAGTCAGAAACAACAACTCCAGGGGGGAAAATTTTGCAGTTACAATGTAACTTCTGTATATTGTGCAAAGTTTCTCTAATAATTTCTGGTTGAATTGTTTCCTTCTACCCCTTCATGTGGAGTATTTTGCAGTCATTTCAGTAAGCTTATGGAGATTCAATTTGACCAGAGAGGAAGGATTTCAAGAGCTGCTATCAGAACTTACGTGCTGAAAAAATCTCGTATTTGTCAAGTGTCTGATCCTGAATGGAACTATCACTGCTTCTACATGCTTTGCACTGCACCACCCGAGGTAACAAGTCTTTATTTGCTTCACCAAGACTTCATAAAAAAAGATTAAATGTATGCTTGTAGAGCATTACATTTTTTATATAGTTGTATTTTATCTTAACATAGAATTTTCATTCTTAGTTATCACATGATACATGGGAAAGTGATGCCCAAAAAAATATATGTAGCCGACCCCAATGTTGAGCAGCAAATGCTTTCCCTTACTACTGATATTGATCTAATATATTAATCCTATGTATGTAGCATGTGGAGTCTTGGTAATATTCAATATTCAAGGGGATAAAATTGGTAGTCTTTGTAGATTCACATTCTATATCAGTTGGTATTACAGGTGGTCATGGGGAATTATTAATGCTGTTATTCCTGGTAAGAATGACAAATTGTGATTATTCACTGTCCTCTGCTTTCATTGGTTTTTATAGCGTAGCATTTTCTTTGTTCTTCCTAATGAAAAATAGCAATTCTATGGCTAGCAGGTGAACTACAGTTTGATTCTTTGTCCACTTTCAGCTTTGTTCAGTCTCATTTGTGGCTTAGAATGCTATGATGGGGGTGGTCCTAAAAAGAAGTTTGTAGCCTTATTTGGACTTAAAAATTTTGTGGGGTCTAGCATAAGTCCTTTCTTTGAGGAAAGTACTTATAACTTTTCTTTTCAATATGGTTTTTCAGAATGTCGACAGGGAAAGTACTGACCTTGGGATGGAGTTTTTAAGTCATGGACAGCTGATGTAGAACGTGTGATGAAACACACTTATACAAGCCCTGCTACATGAAATGATATAGCAGAATACTCCAAAAACTGGTGCTAGAGTCTCCCAATCTTAGATGTATACTGTGCTTAGATTAAGTAAATTTTGTAGATCAAGGAACTTAGTATGTGGAATGAAGGATTGATATTGGCAAGGTTTTTTGAGGTTCAAGAAATTAATAGGGGTTCTGATACTGTACTTTATAGAGAGTGGCTATGTTGACATGTTGGGTGTTAAAAAGGGATTAGTGCATATTGAAGTTAGGCTAATTAAAGATTTATAAGTGCTCTGTTCCAGAGATGAGGCTTGTCAAGGTAGGATTTCTAACGTTTTGAAGAGTCACTACCAAGGTCCGGTTGCAGGATGATGAAGTGCAGAAATTAGGAAAAAGGGGAATAAGAAGCGAAAAGAAAAGGTAGAGGCAGATAGGCATCACATATCGGTACTCTTAGGGATCATGCCTAGTTCTATAATCTCCTCACATAATCCCAAGAGAGCTTCTAAGACTAAAAGTTGTTGAATCTTCATTAAGCTGATATGAATTGAGCTTGAAAGGGAACATATATATGGATACCAGGCATCTTCACTCAAATTAGGGAATCATTCGGTCAATTTTGGTTAGTGGCAAGAGTGGATCAGGTAAAACAGAAAGCACAAAATTGGTCATGCAGTATCTTGCTTAGGTGGGAGGCAGAGGTGCATAAGTCCTGGAGGTAAGCATTACATTTCAGTCTGTTCAATAAGCTTTGACGAAGGACTGATTCATTCTGAGGCCAGATTTTAGATCTTTCACCACCTAATTTAGTTCTTTAATTGAATACAATATGTGTTTTGGCCGTGTTTTCATTTGTTTTGCAGTCAAATCCTGTTCTAGAAGCATTCGTTAATGCAAATTCAGTCAAAAACAACAACTCCAGGTGGGAACATTTTGCATTTACAGTGTAACTTCTGTATATGTCGCAAAGTTTCTCTAATACTGTTTGTTTGAATTGTTTTCTTCTATCTCTTCATGTTATGTACGTTGCAGTCATTTCGGTAAGCTTGTGGAGATTGAATTTGACCGGAGAGGAAGGAGTTCTGGAGCTGCTATTATAATTTATCAGCCGAAAAGGTCTCGTGTTTGTCAAGTGTTCGATCCTTAGAGGTACTATCATTGCTTCTACGTGCTTTGCTCCGCACCACCTGAGGTAACAAGTCTATATTTAGTTGACCTATCTTAGTTTCATCAGGATTTGTTCTACTTGGTGGATATTAATGGAATCCACTTTTGTTTCCATAGTTCCTGTCTCTGTTTGCTGCTGTTTCTTGAATCTTTATCGAATCTTGAGTTCAAATATTGGCTTTGAACAACCATGTCCAAGTAGCATATAATTTATCAAGTCTTCGACAGGTAGATTTCGAGGTGATACTTTTTTGAGGTGCGTGTGCGCTTGCGGATTTTCTGCGAGTTGTTAAGGTTGTTGTTGCATCACAAGTATGTTGCCCAAGTCAAAACCCTGGTTGTGGGGGCTTGATATTCTTTTGGCATTGTTCATATATGTTTCAGGATTTCCTTTATCTCTTGTATGTCATATTAGCAGTTTTAATCACTGTGTCATCTTTTAATGACACTTAGTCTTTTGTTGCACTAGCCAGTATGGTAACTTTTAGGGTTCACTCTTTGCTGTTCTTAGAGGCTCTCCAAGATGGTTAATGTTTAGATCTTCAATACATTGAATGCATTTTGATTTGGCATCCTTTTGATATGTCACCTAAGGAATAGAATATTTTCATGAATATTGCATGGAAGTGGGACACTCAAGAAACTGAATTATTTGTCTGGCTTAAGTTTTTTGGGGATTTTAGAGATAGAAAGGCCGGCTTGGAAAGCTAAGTTTCAGCAACAAATTTACAGCTCCTTCCTCAGCATTCTTCAGCCTTTGCACAGTATTTTAGGACCTCCATGGTAGTAGCAGAAACCCAGAAAGATTTGTTTTCCATTGTTTTTGTTGCAAATAGCCAGTGCATGGTGTGATGGTAAAATCACACACCAACAACTGTCAAGTTGGAATTTGAATAAGAGGGCGAGCATTCTGCACAACTAATGGCAAAGGCTAGAGCTGTACACAACCCACCATTTCCACCAACTTCAATTTAATGGGATCAAGCTGGGTAATAGCTTGATGGCTTGCCATTGACATCTTGTTGGAATCTGTCATTCTGATTAAACCGAATCCTTAGAAGTAAAGGTGCTGAATTACTTTTCATGAAATACTTTTGCTGTTTTGATATGATCCCAGTCTCTCTCTGTTCAGAAGTTTGTGTGAAGATTTCCAAGTTTCAAGACCTTATAGAATGATGATCTTATGGAATGTTTCCCATAGAATAATAACCTCACTGAAAGTTTTATAGTCATTAAAACGCTGTGTGTGTCTAGGTATGAACGTGAATGATAATAGTTGTTATTCAATTGTTCAATTGGCTCTGGTTTTCTTGTTTTTTGGAGTGCGCCAATGGACTCAGTTCTGGGCTTATTAACTGCTTCCTCTTATATTAACTGTCTGAAATATATGAAAAAGTGTTATAGGTTGTTTTGGTCACAGCTTGGCATTGGATCTCTTGCGTGGGTGAGGGATCCTGATGTAGCTTGGGTAGATTGCGAAGTTGTGGAGGCTAATGGTGAAGAAATTAAGGTTCTTGTGAGTTTTCTACATCACTACTTGAAATTGATATTTAAAGCGTATATGGTATATCTGCTTCAATTGGTTGTTATTCTTGAAATGCTGAATATCAACTTGTAATTCATTTTTGTGGTTATTTTATGTTTGTATGAAATTTTGACAGGTGGAAATTCGTCCAACAACTTTTTGTTAAATCATTTCCCTCAAATTAGTATAGGTATTTTTGTTGGTTCAGAAACAAATATGCAGATATTGATGATTCTTCGACTTTGGTCATTTCTTTCTTTTGTTAAATTTAAGTTACAGGTTGTCGTTAAAACTTCTTGGATTTATCCAAAAGATGATGAAGTACCACCATGTGTAGCGGATGAAATGACAAAGCTGGCTTATTTGAATGAGCCAGGACTTTTTCACAATTTAAAATCCAGATGTGATATCAATAAAATAAATGCAAGTATTTCCCACACTTCATTTGATGTTGGAACCATCTGTTTCAACATTTTCTTATTTAATTCTAATGTTTTGAAGCTAATCAACTTGATAGTGCTTCCAGACTTACACAGGAACTATAATACTTGCTATGAAGCCTTTCATAAAATTGCCTCATTTATATGATAGTCATATGATGACACAGTACAAAGGGGCAGCCTTCGGTGAACTGAGCCCCCTTCCTTTTGCTGTTGCAGATGCAGCATATAGGTACGTTGTCACGATCATGAGTTCATAATTCGGTTGCCTTCGCTTTGCATTACAATGATCAAGGCCAATTATGTAGATGCAGAGTTATGATCAATTAGCGAATCAGTCAGTCAATTTTGGTTAGTGGTGAGAGTGGAGTAGTTACAACAGAAAGCACGAAATTGCTTATGTGGTATGTTGCTTACATTGTCAAGCAGCAAGAGCCGGAGGTAAGCCTTACATTTCAGTCCGTCCAACAAGCTTAGATGCCGGACTGCGTCATGCTGAGGCCAGGTTTGAACTCTTTCACCACATAAGTTAGTTTCGTAATTGGGTATAATATGTGTTTTGGCTGTGTTTCATATGTTTTGCAGTCAAATCCTGTTCTAGAAGCATCTGGTAAGGTGAAGACAGTCAGAAACAACAACTCCAGGTGGGAAGATTTTGCATTTACAGTGTAACTTCTGTATATTGTGCAAAGTTTCTCTAATACTTTCTTGTTGAATTGTTTCCTTCTATCCCCTCGTGTGGAGTATGTTGCAGTCATTTCGGTAAGCTTGTGGAGATTCAATTTGACCAGAGAGGAAGGATTTCAGGAGCTGCTATCAGAACTTACGTGCTGAAAAAATCTCGTATTTGTCAAGTGTCCGATCCGGAATGAAACTTTCACTGCTTCTACATGCTTTGTGCTGCACCACCCGAGGTAACAAGTCTTTATTGGCTTCACCAAGACTTCATAAAAAAGACTAAATATATGCTTGTAGAGCATTACATTTTTTATATAGTTGTATTTTATCTTAACATAGAATTTTCATTCTTATTTATCATATGATACATGGGAAAGTGATGCCCAAAAAAATATTTGTAGCCGACCCCAATGTTGAGCAGCAAATGCTTTCCCTTACTACTGATATTGATCTAATATATTAATCCTATGTATGTAGCATGTGGAGTCTTGGTAATATTCAATATTCAAGGGGATAAAATTGGTAGTCTTTGTAGATTCACATTCTATATCAGTTGGTATTACAGGTGGCCATGGGGAATTATTAATGCTGTTATTCCTGGTAAGAATGCCAAATTGTGATTATTCACTGTCCTCTGCTTTCATTGGTTTTTATAGAGTAGCATTTTCTTTGTTCTTCCTAATGAAAAATAGCAATTCTATGGCTAGCAGGTGAACTACAGTTTGATTCTTTGTCCACTTTCAGCTTTGTTCAGTCTCATTTGTGGCTTAGAATGCTATGATGGGGGTGGTCCTAAAAAGAAGTTTGTAGCCTTATTTGGACTTAAAAATTTTGAGGGGTCTAGTATAAGTCCTTTCTTTGAGGAAAGTACTTATAACTTTTCTTTTCAATATGGTTTTTCAGAATGTCGACAGGGAAAGTACTGACCTTGGGATGGAGTTTTTAAGTCATGGACAGCTGATGTAGAACGTGTGATGAAACACACTTATACAAGCCCTGCTACATGAAATGATATAGCAGAATACTCCAAAAACTGGTGCTAGAGTCTCCCAATCTTAGATGTATACTGTGCTTAGATTAAGTAAATTTTGTAGATCAAGGAACTTAGTCTGTGGAATGAAGGATTGATATTGGCTAGGTTTTTTGAGGTGGTTGGTTCAAGAAATTAATAGGGGTTCTGGTACTGTACTTTATAGAGAGTGGCTATGTTGGCATGCTGGGTGTTAAAAAGGGATTAGTGCATATTGAAGTTAGGCTAATTAAAAATTGATAAGTTCTTTGTTCCAGAGATGAGGCTTGTCAAGGTAGGATTTCTAACGTTTTGAAGAGTCACTACCAAGGTCCGGTTGCAGGATGATGTAGTGTGGAAATTAGGAAAAAGGGGAATAAGAAGCGAAAAGAAAAGGTAGAGGCAGATAGGCATCACATATTGATACTCTTAGGGATCATGCCTAGTTCTATAATCTCCTCACATAATCCCAAGAGAGCTTCTAAGACTAAAAGTTGTTGAATCTTCATTAAGCTGATATGAATTGAGCTTGAAAGGGAACACATATATGGATACCAGGCATCTTCACTCAAATTAGGGAATCATTCGGTCAATTTTGGTTAGTGGCGAGAGTGGATCAGGTAAAACAGAAAGCACAAAATTGCTCATGAAGTATCTTCCTTAGGTGGGAGGCAGAGCTGCATAAGTCCTGGAGGTAAGCATTGCATTTCAGTCTGTTCAACAAGCTTAGACGAAGGACTGATTCATTCTGAGGCCAGATTTTAGATCTTTCACCACATAATTTAGTTCTTTAATTGAATACAATATGTGTTTTGGCCGTGTTTTCATTTGTTTTGCAGTCAAATCGGTTCTAGAAGCATTCGGTAATGAAAATTCAGTCAAAAACAACAAATCCAGGTTGGAACATTTTGCATTTACGGTGTAACTTCTGTATATGTCGCAAAGTTTCTCTAATACTTTCTGGTTTAATTGTTTTCTTCTATCTCTTCATGTTATGTATGTTGCAGTCATTTCGGTAGGCTTGTGGAGATTGAATTTGACCGGAGAGGAAGGAGTTCACGAGCTTCTATTAGAACTTACCAGCCGAAAATGTCTCGTGTTTGTCAAGTGTCCGATCCTAAGAGGTACTATCATTGCTTCTACATGCTTTGCTCTGCGCCACCCGAGGTAACAAGTCTCTATTTAGTTGACCTAGATTTGCTTTATAGTAAAGAATAAATACATGCTTGTAGAGCATTTCATTTTTTATGGAGTTGTTTTTTTATCTTAATATAGAATTTTCATCCTTGGATATCACATGATACATAGCAAAGTGGTGCCCAAAAAAATATATGTATCCAACCCCAGTGTTGAGCAGTAAATGCTTTCTGTTACCACTAATTTATATAATAAAGTAGAGCAGTTTTTGAATCAAACCGCAGTGTTGAGCAGTAGATGCTTTCTGTTACCACTAATTTATATAATAAAGTAGAGCAGTTTTTGAATCAAAAGACAAGAAGTGGCTCAGATCGTTTGAAGATAAAATAAAGGGTCATTCGACGGGCTACATTACGCCAACATAAAACGTGGTTCAGATCATCTCAAAATTACTAATTCAATGAGCCATAATGAGTCTAGAAATATTTTTTCCCGCCAAAAACTTTCCATTTTGTTACCCTTGGTCAGGCCTTCAATCGCTCCCCAAGGTTCGCACCAAAATCTGCTCTCTGTCTCCCCTTTATCTCTTTTCTTAGTCAACTTTCTTACACTCAATTTCTATCTCGCATGCCTTTCTCAAATCATCTTCCTCTCTCCCCCAAATATGCTTTCCAAACTACGACCTATGGTTGTGCCCTGAAATTCTCTCTCCCTCTCTCACGTTCACTTTCTCCATTCGCTCATGATCATTTCCCCCTATCTCTATTTTCTCTCTACCTTCTTCCTTATTGCGCCACTGCCTAATCCCCCACAATTAAGCCTTCAACAAGAAGCAGTGACACATCTCTTCTCTTGGTTCACCGCCAGTGACAACTCCCCCTTATCTCCTCTCTCTCTGTGCCGCTGCACATCTGCTGCCAACAACAGCTAGTAGCTGCCCAACCACTGTCTATTTCGGGTATCCTTCTCAATCATCCC